CTCGTCCCCCCCTTCTCCTTCCTGCAAGAGGGAAGAGGAGGAGGACGACGACGACGAGGGGGAGTTCTGCTTTGAGGTCATCCCGCCGCCGCCAGAGTTCAGCAACGACCCGGAGCCCCCCGCCCCGGCCCTCCGGTATCTGGGGCGCCGGGGATCCCCTCCCCGGAACAACTTCTTAGATTTGGGGCAGCCCTTGGCGCCTCGGGGCTTCTCGCGCTTTCCAGCCGGGGCGCACCACGCCGGGGCCGGGGGCCTGGAGCGCTTCGCCGCCGGCGGGGGCCGGTCGCTCATCAAGAAGCGCTTGTACGTCGGGGAGCCCCAGCGCAGCCCCGGGCAGCCCCGCGGCGGCACCGCCCGCAGCCTGAGTTCCCCCAACTGCTTCGGGCCGCCGCCTGGGGGCCCGGAAATGCGGCGCGTCAACTCGGCGGGCCGCGCGCCCACCGGCGGCCTGCACGCGCCGAGGCTGTCCATGGAGGGCGCAGCCCGCGGGGAGGCCAAGTTCAAGGCGCCCGGCAGAGACTACGGCTTCTCCCCTGCGGCCGGCAGGTGAGTTGGGAGTGGGGCGAAGGACGGACCTGGGGTGGGAAGCCAGGTGAGGGAAGGGTCCGCCCGCGAGCCACAGAGAAGCCCACCAGGCCACGGCCACCCGTCCCGCGACATTGGGTTGTCTCCTCTCTGGTTCTCTGGACAGAGAAAGGAACACGAGGAGCACTTTACCTGGAAAGGGTTTCCCTGACCTGCGTCCTTGTTTCCCACCATCTCACTTGTTCTCTCTTTCCCCATCCTCCTGCTTTCCCCACCAGCTGGCTCCCCCTCTTCTGCTTCCTCTTTCCCATCCCCCAGAGGCTCAGGGCTTCAAGCTAAGAGTGGTGTGGGTGGAGACCTGAGTGGTCCTTGGCTGTGGGGATTTCCCAGCCGCACAGAGAAGGATCCAGACTCAGGCTAGGAGTGAAGAGTTCTGAATACAAGGGCATTAGGCAAGTACTCTGTGGCCAGCCAAGCCTAGACAGGAGGAGGAGCCCTGTGTCTGTTGAATCAATACTGCTGGACTAGGGTCCCACCCTGTCCACCGGGGCTTGTGTGGGCAGATACCATAGCACTGAGCCATATCTTTTCCTCTCGCGCCCGGAAGGAGATGGGAGGGCTGTTGGTTAACCAGCTGCAGATATTAACCTCACCTCTCTCCTGCTCCCCGTCCCCAGGTCTCCCCACGGAACCCCCCACTATGGAAGCCCCATCAATACATTCACCGTGAGGCCTGGGACCCGCCATCCTATCTCCTATGCCTACTCGGGGAACCACCGGAAAGCCCCATCCTGAGCCCAGGGTGTTCTCAGCTCTACTCCAAGGGGTCAGACCTGGGCACTTGTTTTTTGCGGGGGTGGGAGGGACGCAGCAGGTGTTAGGCGGCCTGACTTAAACATGCAGGAGTCTTTGTTACCCGAACACAGACGGAGGACGAGTGAGGAGCCGTGGGAAGATGCACAGTGGGTTTCTGTTTCCCAAAGCACTGGCGTGGCTGTGGACTGTCTGCACATGGGGATGGGAGGGGGAAGGAGGGAGGAGAGGAGGAACCTTTAAGGGCCTGGAGCCCGAGTTTCCGCTATCTGGTACTGTTTGCTTTAGCACGACTTAAAGCAGTTTTACCAGCGTGGACTCCTGAGCAGGTCCTGAAAGCAAGGGGTGGGGCACTAGGTCTGAATGGGAATCCATCCCAATGGCTGTGATTGTCTGTCCAGTGCTCCCAGAGGGCTGAGGCCCAGCTCCATCTGGGTAGGGGTGTGGGGCACTACACGTTGAGCTCTTTAGCCTCCACCGGCCCACCATTTGTCACCCCAAGAGGTGATTCCTAGGTTCCTAGCATAGAAGCCACATTGCGGTGGGACCAGGAATGTGCACATACAACCTGTGGAGCAGGTACTGGAACAGAGGTCTTTGCATTGGCCAAGGGTGGGGATAGCGGGGTGGATGGTTCATTTTCCCTGGCTCTGGCCCTTAGCCACAGGGAAGCCTAGAGAGAGAGAAGGAAGACTTGGCAAGTACAGGATGGGAGACAGAGGATTAAGTCTTGTTTTCCTACGCAGACCCAGGCAGCCGTGATTTGGGGGATTGGGCCCAAGGAGCCAGAAGACCTGGGAGCTGGACACCAAGGCCTAACCTAGGCAGAACCCATTTGGGATTTGGAGGGGGCATCCTACCCAACCACCCCTCCCAATCCCAACACTACAGGTCCCCAATATTATTGGGCTTCAAAATGCATAGCGAAGATGCTGAAAGATGGGGAGTGGGAGGCGGCAGAGATGGGCAGGCCCAGACCCGAATTCTTGGGACCAGTCAAGGCAGGCTGCCTCGGTAAGGAGGAATGGGAGGGAGTGGCCAGCCTCAGAGAAGCAGGCCGGTAGGACAGCCAGGAAGCAGCACCCTGTGGGGGCACAGTGTTGGACCTTTAGGACTTGAGGTCACTAGCCAAGATACAGGTTGTGGGGACAGCAGGAGAGCCACTTCAGGGAAGGACAGCAGGCACCCCGATGGCACAGGATCTGGTTACCTGTGTTTAAGAAGCGAACCCCGCCCCAGACCAGCACTGGCCCTCTATGTATGTATGTGTTTTCCCTGTACAATGTTTTATAAAAGAGTTCACTAATTTATCTGCTGTGTAAGGTTTGAAGGGTGAGGCATGGGCTCCCAGCTGTATGTTGCTCTGGAGTAGGAGGGGAAGGACTGGCTGTCACTTGGCTTGGGAAATAAACAGGCCAGTGTGGACTGGCCTCAGCTCTGTGGCTGTGGATTGATGACTGGGAGCTACCTCGGTGTGATGAGAGGTTGGGAGAGCTCTGCTGGGGAAGCCTGAGCACGGGGCGGGGGTGGGGCCTGACCGGGTGAGCCATTTTGCGGGGCCCACGCTTTCTCTTCTGAGCCCTAGGTTCTCTCTCAAAAGCCTTCAAGGGGAAGAAGCAGGGTTACAGTCTGGTGATAACAAACTGTGTCCTTGAGCAAGTCTCTTGGACTCTCTGAACCTCAGTCTCTTCTTCTGTGTAATGGGCATGATGATAACGCGGACCTAACAAGGCTGCTGCGAAGATCAGAGACAGTCGTGCGCCCGTTAACGAGTATTTGAGTGACTCTTGGTGGCAGACGCTGTGCTTAGCGTGGATATACATGACTCCTGCTCACGGCAAGTCTGGTGGAGGAGGGAGGGGCTAAAAAGAACACCCAGAAGCATCACACGTTGTAATAAGCGGTGGGAGGAAAAGGGACAGGGTGCGTGAGAATAACCAGAGGGCAGGGAGAGAGGAGTGGATCTACTTTAACCCGGTGGTCAGGGAAGGCCTCTTGAGGTGGTGACATTTATGCCAATTTGGGCAAAACACCCAGCAAGTGTCTGGCGGTCAGTGGTTGCTCAGTAAATTGCATTTTTGGCTCATGACTCCCTTACGTTTGTGTGGGCCCTTCCACAGTTTCCCGTGAAGCTTTGACCTGGTACCTAAAGCTTTTCCAGAAAACAGAACCAGAGTCGTCATCTCGAGACAGTGTCCGAGAGAGAGTTGTGTTTCCTCCTCTGTCTGAGTCCTCTGTGGCAGGTGGGGGGCAGGGGAGACCAGGAGGGGTCTCCCAGGCCTCCCCTATCCTGAGGCTTCCTCCTCCTCCTGTCCTTTGGCCGTGAGGCCCTCATCCTGGTAACACAGAGGACAGGGGCCCCCACTCCCAGTAGGACTTAGGGCTCTGCCTCTAGCTGCTCACCCCTCCCTGATCTTCCTAACTTTTCTCTCCCCTCACCTGACATGGGAGGGGCAGAGGGGAGTCGTGGAGGGGCCCTGGTCTCCCACCTACGGCACTCCCTCTGACAAGCTGTGTGACCATGGGTCTCAGCTAACTCATGTGAAAAACGACAGGGACAGACTTGTGCTGCGTGTGGGTCTTAGACTTTGTAGGGACCCAGACTTCTTTACTCTTTATTTTTTTTAAAGAGGGAGAGTGTGAGCAGGGGAGGGGCAGAGGGAGGGGAGAGAGACTCTCAGGCAGGCTCCATGCTCAGCGCGAGCCCAATGCAGGGCTTGATCCCACAACTGCAAGATCACTACCTGAGCCCTCCCACAT